AAAAAAAACCAAGTAAAAAATCTTTTCGATAAACTCATAGCTACATCTGTATTAAATTAAGCTTAGCTCTCACTCGAAGAACCGGCAAGTTATGGAAAAAACAAATAAAAACATTATAGTAGATCATGAGGTACCATTAAATACCCTACATCGCTTCGCTTAATAGTATAGTGACTTTTCAAAGTAGGGCTTTATACGGCATTTATTTATTTATTTATTTATTTATTTATTCCACTTATACAAGAAACTCAACTAAAACAAAATGGCAGTCGAGTTCAATTGACTCTTAAGTAAATCTTAAAATTATTTAATAATAAAACTTAGTATAAGTACAATAAAACAAATAAGGAGGAAAAAAAAAAGAAAGAAAAAAAAAAAAAGCATGTACACAATTAGCATAGAGCCACGCCCACAACCGATACAGGACCAAATTGCAAGTGAACCCCTAAGCCATCGCAAACATGCATAATCTTGGCAACCGATAATTGTTAACAACAAATTAATTTTCGACTCATAATGACAAAATCTAAGGTTAAATCAGTTTAAGTACGACATAGGTAAATCGCGCTTGTTGAGCAATATTGCTTTAATAGACTTTAAAGAGTCCGTTAATGAGAATAGATGATAGACATCATTTAGGTTCTTGCAAACAACTCTGAGCGGGTTAAACAGTTCAAAGTTATATTTGCATTGACTAAGCTTTATCAACATAAAGTACCTAGAGAAGCGGTTAGGGACATTAAAGCAAATCTCACGAAGTAATGCGGGCGAATCAATTGCACCATTTATTAATTTGATTAGGAAGGAAACCCCAAGAACAAATCTACGTTTCTCGAGTGACGGTAAGGATAACAGAAGCAACCTATTTTCATAGGGTGGAAGAGGGGAAATCGGGTCCCAACCCAAATTCCTAAGTGCAAACAGCAAGAATTGCTTTTGTATAGATTCAATTGAAACACGTGTAAAGCCTTTTAGTAATATAAGGATCATCAAGCTCTTTGGACCACCTCTTTATAAAACCAAGAGCGGACCTAGCTTTCCTTAACGAGGACTCAATATGCAAATTGAAACGTAACCTATAATCGAATAGAACGCCTAAATCAATGAACGAATCGACGTCTTCCAACCTGTGCGAATCAATGAAGTATTGGGTACTAAACGACTTCCTTCTTAAGAAAGAAAGCTTCTTACATTTATTTAGATTTAGCTTCAGAAGATTGAGGGAGCACCATGCAACCAAATTGTTCAAATCACTTTGAAGATGATGTGATTGCGATTCTACGGAAAAAGAAGTAAACAGTTTCACATCATCAGCATACATTAAAATCTTACTGAATTTAATCACGGAGGGCAAATCATTGATGTAAAGATTAAATAAAATAGGTCCCAAGTGGCTACCTTGAGGTACGCCAGACGTCACGGGAAATTCATCCGAGGTAATGAGGTTAAACAAAACCCTGAATGATCTACCATACAGATAAGAGCTTAACCATTCAACTAAGAAGAGAGGAAAGCCAGAGGTCTGGATTTTAAATCTAAGAAGTCTATGATTAACCATATCAAACGCCTTGCTAAAGTCAGTGTAAATGACATCAGTGCGAGAACCACTAGAAAAAGCCTTGAAAACATGAGAAGTAAACTCCAACAGATTGGTCACCGTAGATCTTCCCTTTCGAAAACCATGCTGGAAAGGAGAAATATACAATTTCATGGAAAAGGCTATATGCTGAGCCACAATTCGCTCGAACAGTTTAGGTAAGACACTCAACTTGGCGATGCCTCTGTAGTTCTCTACAAGTTGCCTACTACCACTTTTGTGAATAGGAATAAGGAAAGAAGTCTTCCAACACAAAGGGAAAACACCTAAATTCAAAGACTTATTAAAAATCTTTGAGATAACATCACAAAGCTCGCCAGCACAAGATATAAGTACACATGAGGGGATGCCATCGGGTCCAGGCGAACAATTATATTTCAGAGAGTTCAATCCTTCAAAAACGTCATTTTCCGATATAACAAAGTTAGGAATTGAAACCGAATTAGAAATCGAATATGAATAATTTTCCGATAAATCAAAATTGGCAGTTGAAAAGTTCTGTCGGAAGTATTCCGCAAAGAGATTTGAGGATTCAAAATCATCCGAGGACTCGGAGCCATTAAAAGACACAAACGACGGGTTTATGGAGATTTTTCTTTTGGAATTAACGAACTTAAAAAAGTATTTAGGGTTAGCAAACAAGGAGGATTTAACAAACTGAAGGTATCTGCAGTAGTATTGGCGGTTGAGGGAATTAAATTTATGCCTTGCAACAGAGTAAGCGAAATAGTCGAAAGAAGAACCACTTTTCGAAAATTTTTTGAACAACTTGTTTTTCCTATTCTTGTAGTATTTAATTGTCTTATTAAACCACGGGGGATCCTTACTTCGAGGACGGGACTGCTTGATCGGAACGGATGCAGAAATAGCTTGATTTAATACATTGTAGAACGACGACAGTAAGCTATCAATGCTTCCCTCTGAGAAATCGAGCACAAAATGAGAAAGATGAGATTTTATTATGGAAACATTGATTTTATGGCATGTGGTCAAAAAAGTGTCCCGATCCGAACTATTTTCAGTAGCGCTCCCCTCGGGCAAAAATATATCAGACGACTCTAAAAATTGTCAAGTGTAGGTTAAGTACAAGAAAACATGATGGGTAGACAAGCCTAGACCGATTGACAAAGTGATTCTCTATTGATGGATATAATTCCGCGTACGGCATACATCCGCACAAACTTTATGTTTATCACGCTTTAAAATACTTTGAATATACGAGCAGTGTGGATGGTAGTAACATCGATTTTCCTAATATATTTTTGAAAGTCAACCGATTCCACTGGGGCACCCTTTACTAAACTTGCCGAATTTGACTGCTATTTTGCAATATGTGTCCCAGGCCATTAGTATAGAAGGATTTATAAGTGGTTGAGAGGCTCTCCAAAAGTTTTAAACAGCCCAATAAAAGCCCTACGTCACCCTACAATTATTCATTTAACGACTTTTCAAAATGAAGCGTTGTATGCGAAGTGAATGAAAAAGTGGTCCGTTCCCATACCTTTCCGATAGTTTTCGGTCTTGGATCAAGATACATCAGCGTACCAAATATCAAAATATTTCGCATCTTGCAACCTGTTAGTTAAACACAAGATATCTGTGAGGCATAGATGGACAGACAATTTTATATTTGTTCAGAAAAAAAAATCTGATTGGTATAATCAAAGGTGGGTCGATCTCAAGTCTTTCTGGAATTTGCATACATCCGCACAAACTAAATATAACGTTCGTACCACAAGCCGTATACAAGTACAAAAAATAACACATGTACACTTGCACACAAGGACATAACAGCAGCACATATTTATAGTAAAAATTCTTTGAATCAATGAATCGAAATATTAAGATAATAAAAACTTTACTTATATAGGTAATCTTGACTAACTTTGCGAAATTATATCCACGGCCGAAATTATATTACGACCTCTGCTCGATAGAAATTTTTTAGTCCAATTATTAGAAAAACCGTAATGATTTTCTATTTTCAGTTTCAAGACGCGATTTAAAACCGAAACTTTATGTTTACATAATCTAGATGTGCTCTAATATCCTATGTTTTCATGATAGTTTTTCTTATAAGACGAATATGTGTACGCACACACAATTTATTAAAACTCATTCGTAAGTCTTAACATTCTTTAATTAAATTTCGAATAGAAACCAAGCGATATCAAATATGGAGTATATCAGGTAAATTGTCTTTTACTTCTTCCTCTTCTTCTGTCAGCAAATCAACCACAGACGATTGACTGAGCTGAGTAAAACAGGTTCAATGCGAACGTGAATTTCTCTACTTCAAGCTTAATTACGTTGGCAGTTAGCTAAATTTTTTCCATTGTTTGGTGCATCAGAAGTTATTAATTTTCTTCACTATTCTCTTAACGAATTTATATAAATATAAAATACATATGTATAAAATCCCTTTCCGAAAATAGGAATAACGACCATTGTGTTTAAGGGCATTTATAAAAAATTTCTTCCTTCATTTTATGTGACGAAAAATCGTGCATGAAAGTAATTTAACTTAAAAATTAAATGGAACAAATTCGAACCAGATGAGTCTACTTCTTGAAATCACTCTTTATAAGATTTTTCATGAATAGTAAGCAAGCCCTTTAGAAAACGATTTAATTTTTAATATTTTATAATCAAAATTGGCGCAGAGCCCGAAATTAATCAAAAAAATTAACAATAGGGAATTTGGATAAGATAGCTCCATATATTAGATCCTAACATATATATATATATATATATATATATAAAGGTATAATCATGAAAAGCGAGTCCTTACAGGGAGAGATAATGTAATTTCTAGTTTTTCAAGAGGTAAATTTCCTAAATTTGAATCCTTTTATATAATGCGCAATCCATATCGCGACCTAGACGATTTATTGTACTACGTCATATGATTTATTGGGCATCCTCCCGTATGTGGGTGATAATGAAAATAATACGCAGTTTTTGAAATATTGTCACAAAAACGAGCGAATAATTGTACTAGGGGAATTGTTGTTGGGCACTTAGCAGTCAGCCTTGCCCGATTATAATGTTCATACTTGTTTTTTTCTTAAACAATGCTACGATAGCGCGGTTTCTAATTGTGTTTATTACTTACATTACTGAAAAACGGAATAACACAACATTTGCTTTTAAGGCCAATCTTGCTCCTCTTCCTGGTTATGATTATCTATTTAATACATGAGGGGCAACTCTGAATATCTCTTTGAATTTTCTGTTATCGATTTAGAACTGTCACATTTTCCTAGCGCCTAAATCGAATGATTCTTACATTCTTCAGTTTTGAAAAAACGTCTAGATTTGTTCAATAACTTCTGCAAGTCCATCAAAAAAAAAAAAGAATAAATAAATAAATAAATAACTTATATAAAAGAAAAATTGTGAAATGTCGAAGTTTGAAGAAAGTGTGCTTTCAAGTAGTGATGATGAGGTGCAGGACCATTTGTCTAAGAGTTTCAGTAAATCCTTAACCTTAAAGGAAACGGAAACAGAAGGTAAGGTTCTAAAATTTAATAAAGTATATACATAAAATATATATAAAAATGTATATAAATTAACTTGTTATATCTATAGAGGACAGTGATGTGGGATGCGTTAATTTGGACGTTAATCGTTTAAGGCAAAGGCAACTCGATATTATTGAAACCGATTCCAGTGAAAATGAGTGGGAAGACGTCAGGGCCTTTTCCCCAACAACTAGGTTAAGCATCACCGGCATCAAGAGTCATTTATCATCCGATGAATCAGATGAATCAAGCGACATTGAATATGATCGTTTCAAGGATACGATGCATGGTTATATGTCAAGTGCTAAAAAGAAAGAAACGGACTCGACTTTTTTTGTACAACAATCGTCAATCAAGCAAGATTCTACAGCGAGTGGAAACAAGAAATTAAAAAATAAAGATTTAGAAGTCTATCAGCGAAACGATGAAGATCCCGTCTTAACAACATCAAAGGACATAATTCAGAAAAGTTTCCAAAAATCTGAGATTAATGAATCTTTAGTTGATATCGTGGAGACAGCTTCCGTCAGCACCGATTTGGCAATTACAGAAAGCTATGAGATGCCAGTACTTTCTCCAAGTACCAGTGATTATATTGAGAGAGAACACAAAACTGACAGCACCGTCATATCAAAGCAATCGTTAATGAAGTATGTTTCACAGGAATATTTCCAGAAAGAGGCTAAACATTTAGAAGATTTGAAGTCAAAAAAAACTTATTTCGAAAAACTTTATAAACGTACCGCCAAAAATTTACCAGATGAAGGCAAACGGTTAGACCGACAAATTAAGAATTTAGGGGAAGATATAGCTATTAGAAGCAAATGTTTAGCTTCCATGGTGGTGGAAGATAAGCCGCTTGCCAGTCCTCTTTCGTTGACATTACAGGGACAACGGAAAGACAATTTCAACACAGTTCCCGATTGCAATGTGCTGTCGAACGATATAAATAGTAAAAAGGCTAACGACGCGACCACGCAGGGCATAGCAACAATCGAAAACCAAAAAGCTTTGACTGTAGATAATTTGAAAGTAAGTAATGGAAAATATAAAAGCGAAAACATAATGTCATTATGGCTGAAAATAATTCAATTTTTAATGAATGTCGGAAAAATTTTATGCTTTTTTTTTTAAGTGAAAATTGACAAAACTTTTATTATTTCAAGGCCCTTCATAATGCCTTGGGCAATTGTCCGACTGCAGATACATTGGCCGATGATCCCAAAGGCTTAACTGTTCCATTAATGCGCCATCAAAGGCAAGCTTTGGCGTGGATGTGTTGGCGTGAACACGAAAAACCCAAAGGAGGTATTTTGGCAGATGACATGGGCTTAGGGAAAACCTTGACCATGATAGCTTTAGTGTTGGCTTGTGAACTTAACGAACGAAGCCAATCCGAAGATGATGACAATGAAAACGATGAAGACAACAATTGTAAATGGTCTTCAAAAAAGAGAAGAGACTGTGCGTATTTTAGAAATTTTAAGAAACAGAGCCTTGATTAGTTTAAATAATCTTTTAGACTACCCAGGCGGAACGTTGATTATATGCCCAGCCAGTTTATTAAGCCAGTGGGAATTTGAAAGGAAAAATAAAATTTCCGGAGCGAAACCAGCGACCTGCCTTCATCATGGCAAAAAGCGTGAAAGTACATCCAAGCTTTTGTGTACTTATGATATTGTAATTACCACGTACACTATTGTAACTAATGAACATAAAGTCAGAGGCGCCCTATTTGGTATTAAATGGAAGCGCATTGTCCTGGATGAGGGTCATATTGTTCGCAATCATAAATCGCGCACCTCAGTTGCGGTATGCGCACTATATGGGATTTATCGATGGGTTTTAACAGGTACACCTATACATAATAAGCAAATGGATGTTTACGCTCTTTTGAAGTTCTTGCATTATTCGCCATTTGATCAACTAACTTATTGGAAGAGATGTATTGAAAAAGGTGCAAGTGGCCAACAACGTTTAAACACTATTTTGAATACTGTGTTGTTGAGGCGCACTAAAGCACAATTGCAGGCGCTGGGTGAGCTTAGCAATTTACCTCAAAAACGTACCGATCTAATTGAAATTGAATTGGATAAAGATGAAATGAATGTTTATCAAAGAGTGATGACTTACTCACGTTATTTGTTCGCCCAATTCCTGATGCAGAGAGCTGAGCGTGATCCCGATTTTCTATATAGCAAACGAGGTTCTAGTTTAAAAGATGCTTACCATAAAATACATGAAAAATTCAAGAAAACACATCGCGACGGAGTAGAGATCAAATCTCATGAAATATTGGTCTTACTGTTAAGGCTAAGGCAAATTTGCTGTCACCCAGGTTTAATAGTTTCTGTAAGCTTTTTCTTCGCATGATTTTAAACTACAGTTGCTTTAATTTGACAATCTTCTATAGATGTTGCAAAGTGACGAAGTTCAGCAGATGAGTTCCGAAAGCGAAGCAACGCAAACGGAATTTGATCTGTTAGAACAATTGAATAAAATGGCCACTGACGATAACAATGAGACTGTAAGAGATATTTTCGGCAATAGAGCGTGTGGTGATTGCGACACTTTGCCTACATCCAAAGCGTCAATGGGAGTGTTGAAAAAAAGTAATCCGGTCTTTGATTTTAAGAGACCATCGTCCAAGATGAGAAAAGTTCTGGAAATACTAAGAATGAATGTACTAAAGACAAACGATAAGGCCATTGTCGTGTCGCAGTGGACTAGTGTGTTAGAAATACTGGGAAGTCATCTTGAGGAAGCTGGTATATCAACTCTTGCTTTCACTGGCCGAATACCTGTCAAAGATCGCCCGGATATTATCTCCGAATTTAATGACCCCTCCTCCAAAAAGCGTATATTATTACTTTCGCTTACAGCTGGTGGCGTAGGTTTGAATTTGATTGGCGCCAATAATTTACTGTTATTTGACTGCCACTGGAATCCACAACTGGAGGCCCAAGCGCAAGATCGCGTTTACCGTGTTGGACAGAAAAAAAATGTGATAATTCATAAATTCATATGCAAAGATACGGTGGAAGAGCGTATTCAAGCTTTGCAAGAACGCAAACTGGCTTTGGCCGATAACGTATTGAGTGGTGGAAAAGCATCGAAAGGTAGTAAACTGACAATGGACGAACTTCAAAATTTATTTGGAATGTAAATATTGTTAGTCTTATTATGAAATCCTTTTGCTGTACACGAATAAAATCCTTACCCAATTAATTTGTTTCAGTTTGTTGTTGTATATCCTGTTTAAAAAGTGTAAATCGACAGTCTCTTAATGGAAAAGAAGAGAAACTACTAAGTATATTGTTAGCGAGCAGAGCTGATTGTTCATCACCCCCTCACCACCTCGCCGAGTATAGCTATTCGCTCGTTTTAGTAATTACCCGCACATGGGACGATGCTTGAAAGATCACTTGACGCGGTCCAAATTTTTTATTTTCTAGAAATTTTTGTATTTTTCAGATTCCGTCATAAAGAACTAGAAGTTGGATCTTCAATATAAGCGCTAGCTTTTTCGACTTGTAGATAGACTAGGAGCATTAGTCAGGCGTAAAAGACCAAATGAAATAGCTGAGACCTTAGACCATAGGGACGAACAGACGAACTGCACGGACGAAACCCTAACTAGCCAATCAATGACTTGCCCTTGCCCTATCCTTCATTCACCATGCCTATTAGTCTCCGCTCGGCGCATGAAGAAGTTTGTTGGGAGCCTCAAGTTGGGTTCGAAGATACCAATTACATTTCCCTTTGCATGGTTAAGTTGTAAGTTTGCACAAGTAAACCTGACCCAATACTAATAGGAAATAACGCCAGGGAATATGCCATAGAGTTTTCAATAACAATCAGACCACCTCGTCTTAGTTTATGTTCGCTAACGTTTCTATATATTTGATAATCTGGGCATCAAATTTTCCTATCAACGATTGAGGCAAAGCATCAGCGAATAGTCGTAATTGGTAATTACATCTAAACGAACTTATAACGACATTGCCCAATTTGATGTTTAGACCATGTATATTGTGATAAATAAATGACAGTGACATATTTACTCGTGATATGTAAGGTATAATATAGTTTCGAAGAGTGGGAACATTAGGAGAGAGGATTAGAAAAAATAGAGGGAGAAGGAAGAAAGCGATACTACTCGACTTAAATATCCAAACCGTTGAGAGTGACACTTGCAGGTCGATAGAATTCTACGCTAGTAGTGAGGAGGGCTTGCAGATAGAACGAGAAGAAAGAAGGCACTATTATTCAACTTAAAAGTGGAAACATTCGGTATGGGGGGAGCGAACCATTTGTATTCCCTCCCTCATTAATCCTGATGAAGACTTTTCTAAAAAGTCCATGGAAACCTTAGGTATAACTTAATGAAAGAAAGTTCCAAACGAGTGCAACAAATTGTTGGAATTTTGCAGCGGAGTCAGTTAATGCTTTGTGAAATCTTTTATATATTATCTGCCTGCGTATATATTTAGAATGCATTCACACTTGCAAGGTTAGTTACAAGGTCTGATGAGAGGTTGGGTCTGTGCGTTTGTTTTATCACATTAACATAAACGAACCTTTGTTCAAATGTGCAAATAATTTATGGACAATTAAATAAAATTATTAAATATAAAAATACAAATTTTATTTGTTTTTATAGAACATTATATTTTATATTTATTTTTCTTCGTCTAATATTCTAATCAGTAAATACTAATGCTAATTAAAAATGTCAACGCGCATTACAAAATTCAATTAAAACCATAAATATTCAATGATTTTTTGTGTCATTTATTTTTCAATAATTTAAAGAAAAGCAAATAAATGCTCTTTACTGGAACATGGTCCATCATTAAATACCCTACACCATTTCATTTAAAACATTTATGAATATAACGGCATGCGAGGAAAGGAATGGTCCGAACAAAATCTCTTCCAATAGCGGTCATCTTTGGGCCAAAATACGTCAATGTAGCAAATTTCATTAAAATATCTCAGGAATTTGCAATTTGTAGTTTAAACCTAAGTAAATCAGACGGACAGACAAACTTTGAACGGCTTCGGAAAATGATTCGGAAAACAAATAAAAACATTGTAATGCGACATGGCCTACCATTGAGTACCCTGCTCGACTTGAAATATAAAAAATAGCTCTTTATACGGGAAGGGGTCGAAAAAGTGGTGCAATCGGAGACATTTTCAATAGTGTTCATCTTAGGGCCAAAATTTGAAGGTGTACCAAATTTCATAAAAATATCTCAAAAATTTGCGATATGTAGTTTGAATGCAAGAAAGCAAGACCGACAAATGGATAGGCAAATTTATATTGATTCAGAAAACGTTTCTCGAAACAAATAGAAACACTATAGTTGGACGGAGCCACTCATTATATACCCTGTACCTCCTTATTTCCTTTGATGCATTTATTTATATGACGACAATTTAATGTGAGACTTTATATGGGGAGGGCTTGAAGAAGCGATCCGATCCGAACTATTCTCAATAGTATTCATTCTTGAATCGAAATATAGTGGTATATTAAATTTTATTACACTTAGACCAGCTAGTAAAAGTATAATGAAAGATGAGTCTATTTCAAGTCCTTCTGGATGTTGTGTACATTCGCAGAAACTTAATATACTTGTGGTGGGGTATGATGGTGTAGAGTATAATAATGTCAATTGACTTTACATTTTGTTTACAAGAAACTGTTATTAACATTGTATTTTAATTTCTTTAACATTTTCATTAAAAACTTTTATTTGAAAATAAGTTTTATAAATGAACTGAAAGTCAAACTAAACAACCAACTAAAAAACTTTAGCCTAAAGCCGTACAAATTCAGGAAATAGTAAGGCAAAGCTAAAAATAAAAATTACTTTTGTTTTTCAAAACAATTTTTTCTTTACCATCTTATGCTGGACTAGTGTTTTCATGACAGATTAAAACAAATTCTTTTTCCTTTTTTTTCGCAAAATAATAAGCAGAGCTTTGTGGTTAGAAGTAAGAAGAAAAAAAAGTCATTGCATTGCACCCTAAAGAAAATAGTTTTACTTAAAATCACCGAGTGTTAAAGTTAATTAAAATGAATTTTATCTACATGGTACAACAACAAATTCCACTCTAATAAAAAAACTAAGCTCACAAACCTTTTAAATCCGATTATTTTCAAGTCACAATAGGCCGAATTACCTTCCGTTCTCATTTCCTCATATGCATGCATGCACCGCCCCATATTTCGTGTAGTTATATAATGTATAAAAAGCTTAAAATCTTCTGCATCCTATGAAAATTTTGTTTTCCATTTAATTCTTGATTCAAATAATTGTGCAATAAAAACATAAGGATTAGTATACATTTACGTTTACTAGGTCTTATAATTCTCTCTTTCAATTGCGAAACATTTTGGGTTGTGTCGAGATGTTGTGTTTAAATCTGTGTCTAGGTCACGCATAGTACACCAGATTTGCCAAATACTAGTAACGCATGGAAACATGCATGGGTAACCCCGTAGATTTATACTTCGTTATTGAGGTCCTAAAAAGACATTTCCACTGAATCGGTTTATGCCCAAGCAACCAATTTTAGCGGAGAGAAACTGTTAACGCAGCTAGTAAGTCCCGCTTAGGAATAAACATTCTCTTATCACCTTCCCTTTAGAAAATCGATCCTCGCAGGTAATTTTCCCCTTCGCTTTAAATTATTTTTAACTCCAGAATGTATGAAATAGTTTCCCCTTCCTTAATCGTATCCCCGAGGGGAGCTTGAAGATCGGTTAAGTTGGCTCACGAATTTATCAATTATTGCCAGAAAACCACACAATGCATTACGCCCGTATGCGTTCAGAAAAAGTTATGCTTAGTTAGTACAAAACCGCATAAAAACGAGAATTTAAAATATTTACGATACGATAGTTATCTCCTAGTAATGATAGGTATGAAGATATTCGAATCAAACCGTATGGAACTACTTTCTTGTTTTAACACATATTATATATCTTTACTTTTCTCCTCCTCCAAGTCATTTCCTTGCTTCTTACCAGGTACAGCAATATTTGCTTTAGAACTTACACTGAGAAAATGATTTAAATTTGTCTAGTTTGTTTACATTGGTGCATACGAGTTGGAATAATAAAAATCTTTTAAGATTTTCTTTTCACTTTTCGTATTGCAAAACTAAGTTTAAGCTTTAAAACGATTTATTGGTAATTTTGGTTTGCAAATGTGTCGACACGTTAAACGCCAAAATGCCGCACGAAAATCCGGATTATAAAAGGCATAAATAAATGGATTGATGGCACAATTTACCCAACCTATCCAGGTTAATAATGACATTAACCATTGCTGTACAGCATATTGAGGCAGGAATGGAATTAATAAATAATATATGAAAAATGGCAGCCAACAGATTATGAAACCACCCATTACCATACTTAAAGTTTTTGTAGTTTTTGTTTCACGTTTCATAGTCGACATACGCATTGGCACTCGATGATGATGATGATGATGGTGATTATGTTGGTGTTGATGATGACAATGATGTTTAATTAAATGACTCTGTTGCTCCATTACCGAAGTTAGGCAAGTTTCCGAAAAAGAGCCTTTACTACCACCGCCATCATTGATACAGTAACGCTTAACATCGGACGCTGTTATTTGCGCATCGTTCAGGCAAAAACTCATCGCACGCTTCTTCATATAAATTGAATCTTCATATTTATAATCTTTTGCCGAGCAATGAGTCGCTGCTGCGATGATATCAAATTGAGTTCTTTCCATCCTTTGATGATTTAAATTTTTAAAGTGCTTTAAACTATTCGCTTTACCATTCATGCCATCTAGAACGCAACGTTTCGCCGATAATTCTTGATGATCGGATTCAAAGTGTTCCGATTCCGATAAAAATTGATCATTATCGATTTCATGATCAGCAGTGCGTTCGGAAGTCTAAAAGTAAATGAAATTATTTGAGAAACGTGTTAATTTTGGTCAACAAAGAAGGGTTTTGAATATATTGATCTTATACGGTATGAGTGATGATATCATGATGATGATTATGACGCCCAATAAGCTCTAAGTATAACTCACAACTGGTGCTTGTATAGAGGATTGCGCATTAGTACTCAACAAACGGTCTTGGTGCTTTTCTCGAGAAAGGAGAAGTTAACATTGCACAACGTCCACCTGCAGGATGTTATCCTTGACTATTTAAATGAGCTGGAATATCTGGGCGTCTACTTTGACAGAATCATAATCTGGAATTCTCATTTAAGGCGGCTAACGGAAAAGGCGATCAGAATACCCTTTGCCTGTCAATGCGTTTACGGTAAAACATGGGATAAAAGCACAAAAATGGTCTACTGGTGTTATATCATCACAATCCTTCCCATGCTAACCTACGCAGCTTCGGCCTGATGGCCTCAGGTAAAGCAAAAACGACGACGACGACGTTAAACAAAACCCCACGTCTCGCTTGCAATGGCATGAGTGGGGCGATGAAATCTTGCCCTTGAATGCCACAGGGGCGCTGCTAGGTATTACACCTCTTTCTCTTGCTGTAGAAAAAGAGGCTTGCCAGAGTGCACTTAGACTGCTGAATATCGACAATTTAAAATTGGGATATCTGAAGGATCGTCTAGAGGTATTAAAAAAATTCATGGACGAAACTTTTATCAAAATATAGGACCATTGAGCTGCAAAGCTAGTACTGTCGCAGCAGTTCGGAGTGACTATACCGGCGAGATAGGGTTTGGACGTGGAAGTTTTTGAGCCCGGGGTGTGAGCAAGCAATTCATGCACCGACGGTTCAAAAGTGAAAAGTTGCAAAACTGGGACTGGCTTTGGTGGCCCGAGTTTTCAGAAGGCCATATCGATGGGATATAGTCCCTACATATTCCAAGCAGAAGTTTACACAATCTCCTCGTTTGCCTCTGAACGCTTAGAAAGACAAGAGAGGAGGCAGGAGAGCGCGAATCTTCATTTACTCCGACAGTCAAGGTGACTTAAAGTCCCTAAATAGGCTGGAAAGGAATGATAGCATCTAAGCTCATGCTTCGAAAACTGAATGAGTTAGGCAGGCGTAATGATGTGCACCTAATATGGACACCTGCCCATTCGGGTGTTGAAGACAACGACTAACCAATCACTCACAGAATGTGCCCTATGCATGTAACACGATCGCTGACAGCAAGAAGGCAGAAAGGTAAAGAAAAAGGGAGATGGTGGCCGCAGCCTAGTGGGTGTGCATCCAGTCGATATTGTGTTGTCTGTTTTGGTTAAGCATTCACTAGAACTACGGGCAAAGAAAACTTTACTGCACTACCGCGAATACTGACTTGATAGTCGCGGTTCGAACTTACCCGGCTACTTAGGCTTAAGTTAAATTAGCTTAAGTAGTCCTAATTAAAATAAGTTTGCGTATTCATCACAAGCGCGAATGACAGTGATGATCTAGACTAATCGGCTGAGCTCTACGTTATTTGCCAATTACAAAAGTCAGCTCAATCCGACCAAAAGTCCATAACTAAGGAAGAAAGAATGCAAATGGAATTTTCAGTTTATAAAATGATTTGTAAAATGTCACCAAATCGCATACAAATATCATGGCAAATGCGTACGGTATATACGATTTGCTATATCGTAATCACATACTCTGAATTAACTTAGTCTAGATATTAAAAGATTCTATCAAATCCGGGAGACATGACAGGAAAGATCGTCCTATACTACGAATTTCACAGCTTTATCATACCTGCCTGCTCTTGCTCATTGCAAATCTATTCACTCATTTAAAACGAACACTTCATCAAATTATTAGTTGGAGTTTTTTCCTTTCTTTGCTCGACCATCTATGTACGCGCCTAAGTGCTGCAAAATATTTTTAGAGGAAATGAATCCTAGAATCCTAGAATATGTATTTCTAATAAATTTGTGAAGACAGATAGCGTTGAAGAGATCAGCAAAACTATTTACACTCGTCTCATATACTATTTATAGAACCATTGGTTCATAAAAAATGAATGAAGTGAGCAAAAATGTTTTTTTCTCTTTGATTCAACATACAGGTTACATATTTCGAGATATTTTGATGAAACTTGGTATACGCACATGTTTTGATTCAAGGATGAACCCTACTGAAAATAGTTGGAATCGGCCCAATTTTTTGAGCTATTCCGATATAAGGCCTTCTTTTGAAAAGTCGTGTTTTCAAATGTACATTCAATACTTCCTGCAAGAGTCTACAAGTTTCCAAATTGTTTTTTTTTTGTTGTAAGAAACAAGCTCCGTCCATATACGTCAGTTATGGATATTAAACTATTTAACGAAATGTTGTAGATTTTATGGTGTTTTCATCTATAGGATCGAAGTTTTCAAATAACTTATTGCATGGACACTTTTCTGCATAATCTACTTTCGCGTGACCAAAACTAATAGAAATTGATCCTATCGGTTCCAAGTCTACTCAACCGTTTCACTTTGGTTTCATCTTTAATTTCTTGAATTTCTATACTGTCACATTCAGTTAAAATTTCGCACTCAGCCATTATTTATTACATTTTTTTTTCTTTCTGTACACCATACCCCGTAGTGTACATTCAATGAATAAAAACTTAACAAAAAAAGAAAGGAACGTATTCTACTAAACATAGAAAGAATCCAAGCAAATAAATTCGCGTCATAAGGTAAGCGTTATTATGCGATGACACACAACCATGAAAAAAAAAGTATAATACACAATGTAACAAGAACACCGAAATAAAAAAACACTGCATCGAATAACAAATAAAGCGTAAAAAAGCATATGCGTACATATATATGATGAAGAGGGAGAAAGAGAGTGAGAGAGAGAGAGAAATATAGAGAGACGGAAAACTCACAGCATCTCGTACGATACGTTGGCGACGGGATGTCAACACATATCCAATTTTTAAGTAAACATAAAGCATAACCGTTAATGGTATGAAAAATGAACCCATTGCCGAGAACACCACGTATCCTTTATTTTGATTATAGCGACAATATTTCTTGCTATCCTTCTTATGACGACCCGGCTCGTACCTATGAAATGAATCAATGAAAAGTAATTTATATTTTAATAAAAGAAATGTAAGAACGATACATACTTATATATATTGTGTACATAGTATCCGAAATTTATTAATTTAAAAGTAGACATGATATGATAGCACTAAAGATTTTTCTTCTGATCTACTATGATAGCAATCTTCTTCTTCAACGAGTCAGCAAATCGACAACCCTAAGTAATTGAGTTGCGTGAAAAGCTTCAATTCTTTGCTTGAATCGTAACGAAGTTGGCTTGATGACACTCTATTAGGATATATAAGTTGCGGTTTTTGTTAGTCGTACTTTCAAGTGCTTTAGAATTTTCGCATTTGAAAAATTCTAAAATCACTGGAACATGGAGCAAGCAAAAGGAGAAAGCAAAAAGTTCTTCTGTGAAATTAGCAAAAATGTTGCCAGAACATAAAGAAGGAAGGCTGCCTATTAAAAACCTTATTATAAAGCAACCAAAGAAGAGGGGAAAAATATTCAAAAAGTGACTAATCGATATTCAACAGCTAGGATCGGGAAAATTAGTTAACGAAATCTGATATTTCACAGCCATCACAGAAGTCGTAGAAAGTTTATTTAAGAGATGGAATTCTATTTGAAACCTTTTCACAGCCTTTTCCATAAAACTTTTGATATGCTCTTGTCAGGGTCAGCTTTGTCCATTATTGTGCGATATTTTAAAATGCGAACCTCTATACCCGATAGCAGAAAATTCGTTAAACCAATGGAAAATGTTGGGATCGAGTGCAAGCTTGGTTGTCGCAATCGGATGTGGCTACTTAGAAAGAAAGGGAAATAATTTTATTATTGTTTTGAATAAATAATTAACTTTTCTGTTTTTCTTTCAAAATTCCGACTGCCTTTTTTCTCTACATTCCACCTATCAACACTTGTGGTATGGATATGGGTAAATTTGCACCAATGCTTGCAGCACTCGCTTTGACTTGAGCTAGACCTGGCTTTTATTATAATAATGGATTTGGAATTTAATTATTTAAGTCTATCTGGGAGAGCTATTTTTTTGTTTAATCTATTTACAGGTCCAAAGTTCTTTGTGCGAAAATGTTTGAAATGTTGAAAATGTTGGATTGGTAAAACCATTTTCTCCCTATAAGGAAGTATTATGAAAAAGTAATATTTGTCAATATCTATTGTAGGGTATTTAATAGTCAACTTTGTCACGTAATAAAGTTATGACTGTTTCTTTTTAGAAATTTTGATATGTAATATCTATAAATTAATACTTTTTTTTTCCTCTGTGACTATGCAAGTGGTATGCACTGGTAAAGTGTGTCCCCCTTGAAAGGTGCTGACATTTCAATTTTATTTTACTCAATAAAAACTCCTTGCTTTGCTAGAAGATAGCGATATGAAAGTCTTTTGTAATAAAAACATGTAAGAAAATTACATACGTCTGAGACCGAATATTTCGTACCTACCATATCTCTTAAAAAAAAAAACACATACAAATAGAAAAGAATTTCAATACTATATTATAGTGCGTTGGTGTGGCCGATAGGACCATTCACAAAATATACATTTTTTTTGTTTAATCTTCTGTAGCTGGTTTTCTTTCGGAAGCAGATAGGTTTAGAATTTGCGTGCAACTATAGGCGTGTCCTTCGATTGAATTGGCCCATATTTTATACTAACCTCCGTGCAGAAGTTTTCACAGGAATACATTTACCACAGGAATTACACAGACAGACAGACCGTCATACCAAGATAAATTCAGAATTTAATAGTCATTAAGAATACGTGCACTTTATGGGATCTCTGAAGTTTCCTTGTGGATGTTGCAAACGTTTTGCCAACATAAGTATACCTCACACTCACCCTTCAATGATAGATACAAAAATATCTGAAAAAGTAACTGCACTACTTTACTTACACGAGTGAATAAATGCTGACTCTTTGCATAGAAATTTCCGAAACATATTGACATAAGTGCTAGCTAGCAAATAAGGTGAATGCTGTAATAAATTTCTTTCATTTGATGTGTAACTTTTTTTGTTTTGGGTTTTATGTGAATTTTTTTGCAGGAAATTAAATAAGAGACATTTAAATGCTGACAACATTCTCTTAATTGACTGCCTACGGAGAAGCACCTGCCAATTCCACGTAGAAATGAAAACATTCTAAATTCAAAAAAAGTAATGGGAACTGAAACCACAATTTCTATATCAGAGTTCTAAGAATTGTAAGTACTTAAAACTATCCATAATACTGCAGGTTAATTTTAAAGTAAATATTAAGTTAGTTGTAAGACAATCGAAAATGAAATATTTTTCATTTTTGCTTGTACGGCTTTTTATTATGATACTTACCAACCAAAAAATGGCGGACAAGTGATACAAAGCGCAGTTATCCAGACAATAAATATCATATAGAAAGCCAAGCGTTTAGTGCGTTTATTTTTTGAATAATTTAAAGGTTGCGTTACAGCTAAATATCTGAAATGAAAAATATAGAGAGGTAAACAAGTTGAAGCCGGCAAATATGACTATTAAAAACTCTATTCCAGCTCTTAGGTTAATATAATTTCTTATCTAAGTATGTTCATAGATTATCACAAATTTTTGAATGTTGTCATGTAAACGTTTTGTTCTCACGAGAACGGCGAACTGACGTAGTTCAATAGTAATAACTCTAATTTTCTTGTTGAGGTATCTTCTTGTTCCATTCCGAGGATGTCCACTATGCATGCGAACATGATTAGGAAAGATTATAGATAGAGAGGGATGCAGAAAGGCAGTAGTGTTTGTGAACGTTGGACTTAAAAATAGAGACAGCAGATTTTGAGCTCGACGCGCTCTTTTAGAATATAAGCACTAGTCGATTAAAATGCTTTTATTTCTAACAAAATTTCAGTAAATTAGTCGTTGAGAATATTGCCAGAGATTTTTTTATTCCTTATGACCAGCGACTCATGATATTTCCACTACACGTTTGGGCACGATGATGATCAGGAAGAGAGTGGTGGAAAAAGGGAGTAGTGTTTGTGAATTGATTTAAAAATTGAATTCAGCTATCGTAGGAAAGATCATGGTCCACTTGGTGGTTCCAAAGGCGGTCAGTATGGTTAAGGAATAACGATTCGTGGTAGTGTGTCAAGCGGCATTCAGGTAATTCTGGGACCTGGATTCTGGGAGCCGTGTACCTTTGACTTGAAGGACTTAATTGGTGGAGAAACCTCTTTTATCTCTACAGAACACTCTTCCTAGATATACCAACACGTCCATATTACAGCCAACATTACGGCGATTCTCAAGGGTATCGAAAGTGTTAGACACACTTTCGCCGGCCATGAGCATCTAAGTCTCCAAAGAGGCTTCGACGTACACATGCAAGTTATATTATAATTTTGGCCGAATATGGGCGGTATAAATGGTTAATTTTTGGATAGATTTAAAAAACCTAGGTCCTTGATTACATGTTTCGGCATTTCGAACACATATGCTTTACCTGTTTTAATCGTAAAGAACAAAAAATTTAATTTTGTGATCATGGAAAGGCTTTCTACTATGGATAACTTATCCAATCCTGCAGTCCAAAGTAGAATGATGTAATCCCAAAAAAAGCAAAGCCAAAACTATTATATATATATATATATATGCGTATATATACTATATAAACTATGGCCATGAAAATACTTTTATTTTATAAGAATATTTATATTGGAGGCCGTTCGAAATATAATACAATCTGACCCAAAACTTCGAAATCTTTAGCGACATTTCTTCACTCGACAACTCTTAAAGATGATATTATTTTCTCACATATAACGCATGAAGTAAAACAAATCGTAAAGTAAATGTAATCGGTGCGGTCATAAAATGGTCCGATTCAATCTATTTTCTATAGAATTTATGTTTGATCAAGTCATGGCCTATCAATAAAATATTTTAGAAATAATAGTCCATATGTTGGAAACAAAATTATATGCGCAGATATCAAACGGACAAATGCGTACAAACTTAATGTCGCCTTACACTACGTGTAAGGTGTAACGTTTTATTTGTAATAAATTAAATTGAAACTAAAGTTTAATAAAGCTTCTTCTTCCCACTAACTTTTGTTAAAATAATATTTCAAATGAAATGCTTGCAAACGTCTGTTTGAAATATTGTCAGTTTGGTTAGTCAGACACTTTGGAGCCTTCCGTTCTTTGTCGGCAAAAATATACTGTTGTTGTTGCTGTTGTTGATGTTAGACTTTGTATTGTGACCAAAGGACAGTTTCAATGCAATTTATCAAGTCGTTCATTTAAACACGACATCTGAAGAGGAAGCTTAAGTGAATTAAAGATCCTTTAAATGATATAATTCCTTGCAAAGAGCAAACTAAAAGTAATTGTTACTAAATTGATATGTAATATAAGCGGAGGAGGAGAAGGAATTTATTCTTTCAAAAACAATTACGTGCATAGGTTCATTTTCCAAATCCAAATGAAAATCATCTCTTTAGACATTATGTGTACGTGATATGAACGTTTCTATAAGGAGCAAATGCATGTACAGCTGTATATAAATGCTTCCGTTGACTGGCGGTTTTACATTTTCACAAGAGGAATGAATAACACATTTATCATCTAAGCTTTCTAATTGCAAAATTTGCATGTTTTTGGAAAATAATAAAATTAATTTTAAGCGTCGTTTCACTTTATAAATAAATATGACCCGTTTTCTTTGCCAGTAGTGTAAGTCCATTTTTGTAAAAATATATTTAATGATAACGATGAATGAAATGCTGGAGGTTGTCCTTATTGTTAATTTGACTGAAAGTATGATAACTTTCTCGGGTTTACATCAGGGAATTCCAGTTATTGTGCCTGGTAAATTTACGAGATACTATAAAGCAATTTACTTGCCACACTGCTGCGCAAATTATTGGCTTTAGAGTCCTTTCAGAGTGCTTTGTATAATGTATAATATTGATCTTCATTTGTTTGATCCGTCACTGGATTCTATACGTTTTACCACGGATATGTCATTAGCATAGTAATATGTATGTATTCGTCTTTGTGCTCAACGAACTATTTCGCTGCATAATACTGCAAACCACTATAATTTTTTTTTTTACGTCGTCTTCGCTTTTTTTACCGAAGGATTAGGTGTACATTCATTATGTCAAAACTTTTAAAAGGCCCAGAAGGAAGCATCAGAGAACCCACAAAGTATATATACTCTTACTTAGCAACACATCGTAAATTAATTTGAGCATGTCCGTCTGTTCGTCTTTGTGTCTCTGCCACTGCATAATGTCCGTGGTAAACATTTTCATGACCGCAAAAATGAAGCAATCGACTTCAAGTTCGGCAGAAAAATTAGATGCTCTTGCGCGAAGGTTGTTATTGAAAATGAGCGAAGTTAGTCGAAGGACATGTCTACAGCACCCTGTAAACCGAAAAGACCTCTCTGTTTTAAATAAGTATTGCTTTTTTCCCTACTCATGAACTAAGGCAGATAAATATACAAGCATTTTAATATATATTCTATGGGCGATGCTGTAGCACTTGTACAAAAATGAGAAAAATTGACCACACGTACCGGACAGTATAGGATATCAAAATTTATTTTTTCTTTTTTTACTACCTTTATAACGGCCAAAAAGCTTCATAAGCCCCAAAAAGTATAAAAATTCTTGGTCAGCCTTAAATTCTGAATGCATCTAAGCATGTCCTTCTGTTGCTCGGTCCATCTGCTTGTCTGCGGAACTGTATAATATTTGTGGTTCCCGTTAGCGAAAATGCAGTGATCGCCTACAAATTTGCAAAATAATTTGGAATTTGGGCTTAAACTTTTTCCAACGGCCACACGCCTATGCGACGAACACTTTTATTTTGATAATAGAAAAAACGGTTCGCCTCCATCTCATATCATAGAGTATGAAAATTTAGTTTTTTTAATTTTTCCGCCTTTTTTAGAACCAAATATAATTCTCTTACTTGTTTTTTCTATTACTCACTTCCCATCGGCTGATAAATTTTTGTATGGAGATGATAAAGAAAAAAACAGCTTCCGACTACAAATCTACGTAGTTAACGCAACTGGAAATATAATGAATTCGAAAATGGTCCACTTTCTGGAAAAAGGTAATATATAATCAGTCCATTCGAAGTCATCAAAAGTACGAATTGCTTTGGACTAATATTTTAAAAATGACCCCGTTATAAACTTAAATCAATTTAAAAGTTAAAAGACTTAAAGCGGTGAGACTACACATACCTACATTTTTCAAAACATTCAAAAACAAAACGTTTTGACTACAGATCAACATGGACCGTTTTCTTTGAAAGTGTTGCCAGTGTAAATAGGCAGAAAATAGAGTGCATTCGTCGCGTCATAAAACTGCGAGTAAAGTAAATTAAACTCGATTTCGAAATGAAATTTGGCAAAACAATTCATCGTTTCATACATCATTCTATGCTACATCACCTATGCCTACAAGGACATAGTAAGCGTGTGCGAGTGCATCGAATATCCAAAAGGTCATGGAAGGATACCTTCCATTATAACGGCTGATTCATGGTGGCTGTCCATCCATCCGTCTTATTTCTTGTGTTTCTACAAGTAGCAATTTTTTAGTCATTTTGATGAAATTTGATACAACGGCTTTCCTTCGGCCCAGGGACAAAAGCCTTTTGAAAACGGTCTGGATAGGAACACTTTCTCGATCACTCCCTATATAAAGCCTTGCTTTGAAAAGTCGCTGCACTATCAAAGGAAGTCATGGTATTTGATGATGAGCTCTGCTCCACTATAATGGTTTTACTTGTTTGTATTAATTGATTTTCATCTTCAACTTGCAAGTAGGAGTTTTTAAGATATTTTCACGAAATTAGAATTACTGAAGCGTTTCGGCTTAAGGAAGAAGCCTACTAAAAGTGCTTTAGATGGAATCATTTTTACAATCGCTCCGTTTATAAAACAATTTCAATTTTCAAAATTTTTCGGCAAAAATCGCTGAGTATATTTTGGCGAAACTAGGTATAAAGACACCTTTCGAGCTAAAGGCGATAAGCGAATTGGTTTGGTTCATTTTCAAGACTTTTTTCAATATAAAAATCTCTCTTTGGAGAAGTCGTTATACGAAATAAAATTTGAAATGGTAAGATATTGATTTGAAAAACTTTAACAGGATGGCGCAATTTTTTGCGCCTAGTGGGCAAGCCTGTGTATGGCAACAAAATTTAATATATAATCACTTTATAATAAAAGTAGCTTAGGAATAATAATAATATCTTTAATAAGCTCTAAATTTAGACCACATCAGTTTAAGCTCGAAACTCTCTGTCATATAAAGCATCCCAAAAAGAAGAAAGCATTTCCATGGAAACAAGATTTAAGTGTCGGTATTTTATCACGAAATGTACGTAGGATGTTTAACGTTCGGCCATCCTTTGCTGTAAAATTTTTACTTGTATTTTAATGATTTATGTATTTCGTCTTCTTCTTCTGCAATTTACATAAGTTTAACATTTTATACAAAGCTTTTAGCCAATTGTCCTTACATTTTCTTTTTTTCTTGACTTTCTCTATTTGCATTTGTTTACTTACCGATCTAAGCTGATAACACATAGACTAAGTATGGAAGCTGTGCATAATAGAATATCTAATGAGATCCAAATATCGCATAATATCCAACCAAAACGCCAAGTATCTACAAAAACGAAAAGCGAAAAAAAAAATGACATGAAAAATAAATTAGGAAATTACTGCTGACTTAGGTTTTCATAGATCGAACAAAAAAGATAAGCAAGCGAGGAAAATTCATTAAATTACTTTGTAACAATCTATCCGTCGCCATCAAAGTAAACGTCTATCCCCAATCTTTGACTATTTATGGATTTATGCTCTAACTGTCCGAAAGGTTAAGCTAATATTTTTTCTAATATACTTAGTTTCTAAACGATAGAATGTTATTTCTAGCCAAAAATAGCGAGTTACGAAATTCACTCACTGGATAAGATGAATCTGTCTGGATGCTACCCGAGTTTCGAGCGAAATGCTTGGAAGGTAAAATTTCAAATACAGGTCCACGATGCTTTATCTGTCAACGGTGCTACCGATTGGCGAAAAGATTAACAATAATTCGCAGAATATTTAACATTGATACGTTCTCTAGAAATTGTCATGGAAGAGGAACAGTTTACCAAATTTTTCACTACCAAATAAAATAATTAAAGGATTTTCTGAAAGATCGGATTAAGTTTACATATGAAGTCTTGCATTAGCTGATTTGTCTTGAAGGCGGTTTTGCGAGTTACCCAAAGAGGCAATAATCGTTTGAAATCATGACCGGCAACGACAATTGATAAACGGCGGCTTAGTCTTACGACGTATCACTGAAGCCCAAACACAAACCTTCTTTCCACCGACATAATAGCTTAGTTGTTTCTCCTAATTGCACTAGTTGATATTAGAAGAAGAGGCGGACGACGAACTGACATGCCAGTCTAGCTGGTTTTCCTAATTATGCTAGAAGATAATAGAAGAACCAATCGATGGACGGACAGACATACCAGCACTAGAAGATAATAAAGGAAGAGATCGACGGACGGACCGACATACTAACTTGGCTGCTTTTCCTAATTGCACTAGAAAACTAATTAAGAAGAGGCCGACTGGCAGACCGACATGCTAGCCTAGTTGCTTTTCCTAATTGCGATAAAAGATAACATAAGAACAGGCTGATGGACTTATCGATACACCATGTCAGCTCTTTTCGTTAGTTACCCTAGAAGATAATAGAAGAAGGGGGTGATGGGCTGCTGGTTTTTCTAATAACACTAGGGGATATAATATATGAAGAACTCCTTCGACAAAGCGACATGCCAGCCTAGCTGTTTTTCCTAATTGCACTAGCAGATAATAAAATGAACGATCGTTGAAAGGGCCGACATGCCACCCTTGCTGTTTTTCTAACTACACTAGGAATTAATATAGAATGAGGTCGACGGACAAACCGACGCATAAACTTGGCTGCTTCTCCTAATTGCGATAGAAGATAATATATGAAGAGACCGACGGGCAGACTGACATACCAGCCTAGATATTTTTCTTAGTTACACTAGGAGATAATATAAGAATAGATCGGCATACCAGCCGAGACGTTTTTCCTAATTAAACTAGGAAATAATAATAAAATAAGATGTCAACGCACAGGCCGACTTAATGCCTTAGCTTTTTGCCTAACTTTTCTAGGAGATAATGTAAGAAAAGTTCAGAGGAGAGACCTATACACCAGCGTAGTTCTTTTTTTCCTGTTCAGACTGAATGCGTGCCTGATAAAATCTCCGATACTTATTTCTAGATAAACATTTGTTGTTTTATGCATATCTGCCTCTGATGAATGTAATTAAGACTAACTTAAGAACAAAAGAAAAGTTATGAACTTTTATGAAACTTTACTAATTCGATTATAGAGTTTGCAACAATAATATTATAAAATGTTTAACAAAGAATAACATTTCGCAGTAACCAAAGAGACAACAAACAAAAAAACAAGTCTCGAAGTAAATATGAAAATAATTTTCCAAATAATCAATAGTCTGTGACATGGAAATATATAAACAAATTATTGAAAATTTACACTTAGAGTTGACGAAAATTCTATTTCAACGCAATATATAAAATGATGACAACAAGCGAGAAAACAAACAATGTAACTATCCAACTAATTGCTATGTAAGTAAAAATTTTTAACACTTACGTTTGGTTGCTGCAAAAAAAAAAAAAAAAAAAAAAAAAATATACGACAACATTTCGCTTACGTTATATATTTGTTTAAGGCCTTTATTGCAAAGCTTGAATTATTCTAATGCTTAGTAAATCTCTTAAATTATATATAAAATCTGTTACTAATCTTTGAGTTGAGTTCACACTTCTTGAAAGTAAAGTGAAATAAAATAAATATCATATAAATATCAATAAATATTATCAATATTTACATTTAATTAAAGTAAATTGATTTTCCCTTACCTCACACGCTTTGACGTAGATTTGCTTAAAACGAATTTTAAATATCTATCGCTTAATATAAAGCTTTAAAAAGTTTCAATTCATCAAACACCATACACATAAAATAAGATAGAAGAATACATTTAAAGTTTCTTATGTTAAACGTAAACATTATTCGAAAAAATTTTCAAGAGAGATATCTGCCTATGGCTACTACGCTCTGCTAAGGCTTTGACTATAGCCAACGTACTATCTCTACAATGTAAACCACAGCATCTGTGATCATAAAATAGTTATTTTAAGTTCGACATATGTATCAAAAAACAACCTGAGGGACCTGGATACCCATCACCAGAAGATGAGGAAGGAAGTTCTCATAATGCCCATAAGGAAGCATCAGAGACGCAACAAAGTATATATATATTCTGGAACAGTATCAAATTCTATATCAATTGAAGCATGTACGTCCGTCTGTCTGTCTGTCTGTGTAATGTCTGTTGCAAATATTCTCTCGGTCGTCTATCGACTTAAAATTTGGCACAAATCTTGAAAGTTTTTGCACGCAGCTTGGTATTGAAAATGGAACAAATCGGTCGAAGGGCATGCCCACAGCCGCAGCTAAACTGACAACCCCTCTGCTTTTCAAAATAAATAAAAAAAATTGCTTTTGATTATTATTCATAAACTATAGCTGATAAAAGTGCGAAAATTTAAACGCACATTCTACGGACGATGCTGCAGTACCTGTATAGGAATGGGAAACATTAACCGCGTATACCCATTACTATAGTGTATCAAAAGTTAATCTTCACCGCTTTTATAACGCGCAGAAGCAAGCTGCAAACAGTCCGCAAAGTATGTAAATTCTTGAATAGTATCAAATATGAAATGCATCTAAACACGTCCATCTGTTCGCCTGTCCATCTGTCTGTCTGCGCAACTGTGTAGTACTTATAGTAAACAATCTCCCGTTAGCGAAAATGAATAGGTCACCTACGAACTTGTAAAGCAATTTAAAGTTGACATAAACTTGTCAAAGGAAACGCCCACACGTCTATTTGACAACAATGTTTATATTGAAAATATGAGAAATCAGCCGCGCCTACTCCATATTATAGAACATGAAAATAGGTATGAAAGATTCATGATCGAATATAATTTTCTTACTTATTTTTTATTACTTTTTTCTCTTGTTTTTATTCTAAATTAGTTATGTATCAAGTATTGAACTAACAATAGGAATAATAATAATAACTGACGGGGTGGCAATATTTCTTGTCTACATGACTCTCGAACTTCAGGCGTCTTTAACCACATGGACCTAAGGCATCTCAATAATTCTTACATACATAATTTTGAATGAACTTCCACAAGAAATTTTGGGGGTCCGTCTTCTTCGAAGCCTGTCGGACAAATCAGAATTACTAACAGCAAATTTTTGAACTAACGTTGACCCCTGTTGGACCTTCACTGAGCCAATTTGCCTTGTTGTTACCGTCATAACGGTGTCATGTCTTCTTAAGATTCATCTTTGGAAAAAGTTTCATACCAATTATTTTATATTCATGTCATTAGTAAAAGACACTTCATCGATTCGTTTAATGCTCGGTTTTTTCTCTTTTTTAGCAGTCATTCCGATAAGAGATCTCTTCTTCAAAAAAAAAAACAATTTCTTTTAATTTGTTCCAGTTTTTTTTATCAGCGATGAATATGCCAAGCCATGGATAACTCTTGTCAACCTTCACCTTTTCACAGTTTTAAGGCATTTATTTATTCGTGACTGTCGAAATTTCATCATTCTTCTTGGAAATTGATCAAGCATTTATATATTTGATGGGGTTTTTCAAGTTTGTTTCTGTGCCTTAGGAAGGTAATTTTGATACACCATAATGTTGGGTTAATTTTTTTGCATTTTTGTACAGATGCCACAGCAGCGCCCATAGAATAAGCGTTCAAATTTTGGTGCGATCATTTGTTGTAGTTTATCAGTAATGAACAAAAAACCGGTTTTTTATTCGTTTTTGTTCTCAGTTTACGTAGTGTTCTGGACGTATGCTCCAACTGACTTGGCTCGAAGAATGTTTACAACACACACTCCATAGACGGACAGACAGACTCTTCTGTTTCCTTCTGGACGTTGCAAACGTTTTGATGAAATGATTGTACCCCTCATCCTTCGGTGGTGGGTGTGATAAGAAAATACTAAAATTCCAGTTATACTAGCTATCCCATATATATATATATATATATATATAATATACATCAAAGTTGATTCAAGCTTATTACTAACACAGTGCCATAGATACAAATATTTACTAATATAATTTTTATTTATGCTCACCACAAATCAATTTCAAAATCCGACAAAACTTCGTCCAAGTAATCCCATTGAATTTATAAGATAAACTTCCCACACGGCAAGTGTACCAGCAATAAAAGTAAACCATAGCAAACAGCAGCAACAACAACAAGCTGGACCATCAGACATTGTATTGAAAAATTGCATTTTTTATTTTTAGAACTGACGCCGAGATCGCATAATAAAAATTAAAATGATCATTAAAAGATCGACACGCAATGCGAAGCAGATGACAGACCTCATAATTAGTGCGCGTTTGTGATACCCTAATAAACCAATAATTACGGGTTACTCTTGCCGATTGATATGAATATCAATCTCGCTAAATAAAAATGGCGGATTACTCTCACCAGATAAAATATAAGACGCCCAACTAACTACGTCTACTCTCCGAACTACGAAGGTAAATAGACTTAAAACGACTGATTATTTGAGACAAGAGCAAGAATATTCGTCGATCTAGTGGTACTTCATTGCTACACAAATTTCGTAGCGATTCATTTCTTAACGGAATCGTTAATGAAGATAAAAAATGGATTCATTGTGATAACGTTTCACGTAATGGCTTTTCAAACCGCAGTACGGACCTTTAATCCTAACTTACCTTGAGTCATATTTGACTTCAAGAACTCTAGATGCTTATAAGAGGAAAACAGGCAACTGATCCTTTTGATCAGGATGGATAACAATGTAATCAATGCAGAAATAATAAGTAAAAACACTTTGGTGAGATATAGTTCACAATTTCGCTTAATACGATCCCTATAAAGACTTTTCAAAATAAGGTGTTATTATGGGAAGAAATCGAAAACGTAGTCCGATTCGAACTATTTTCAGTAGCGTTCTTTGAAGGGCCAAAACACGTCATTGCACCAAAATTCAGGCAAAAATTGTGACCTGTAGATAGAAGACAAGGACTTAATATGGACTGACAGTCCCAAGGACAGATAGACCAACGGATAGACAGAGCTACGGGCAGATAGGCTAATGGACAGACAGACCAACGGACAGACAGGCTAAGGGACCGACAGAACAGCGGATAAATAGACAGAGGGACAGACAAGTTTCAATTGACGCAGAAAATAATAAAAAATGACCCTATCTCAAAACCAACTTGGCATTGTTTACATCCCCTCAAACTTAATACATCCTTGTACCACAAGTGGTGTAGGGTGTAAAAACTTAAATTTACTCCAAAGTTTGTTTGAGATTCTTCACTTATGCATCCCTCCTGTTACTCGTGCTTATCTAACTGACATCTATAAAACTTAAAACAAGAAGAAGAAGAGGAAAATCCTGTAATATTTCAAATTCATTTTACTCTCCATTTCGTAAACGCTATGGAAAACTTGTTCTACTCTAGTTTTTTCTTAGGGAACATTCGCACAAATTGTTTTTGTCAAGAATTTCTATGCAATTTGTAAAAATATTGGAATTTAAATAAAAGAAAATATTTGTTCTATATAAATGACTATAAATAATAGTTATTTTTGTGATTTTGGTAACATTTAAAATAACATTTTTTTTCCTTTTTTTTTTTTTGATTTTTAACAATTGCAAACATAGAATTTAAATTGTATAATTTTAAATTTAAATGAACAGAAAAAATATCATGAAAAAGTTTCGGTTAGTTGTTGTTTTTATGTTGTTTTTATACAATATATTTTTAGTTTTTTTTTTTTTTTTTTCATAACAATTGTGTTGACAAGTCTTGACAGCCTTTGGATATAAATATGAAAAAAAAACTACATTTAAATTATTTGCAATAAAAAAGAACAAAAAAATTCGGCCAGAATTTTCTCCCCTTGTTTGGTGACTTTTACTTTTTTTTATAAATGGTTAGCATCAGCAGCGGAATAGGCAAAGCTTGATCAATATTTTTTAAAAAATTATTTCTCTCTATTGTTTTGTTTTTTTGACTCCCATCACCGAAGGATGAGGAGTATATTCATTTTGTCAAAACCTTTGCAACGCCCAGAAGAAAGCATTAGAGACTCCTTGAGGTATATATATATTTTTGATGTGCATCAAATTCTAAATCGATTTTAGCATGTCCGTCTGTCCGTCTGTGTAAAATCTACTATAAGCATTCTCTTGGCCAAAAGAATGAAGCTGTCGAGTTGAAATATTGCGTAAACATTGTGAGGTTTTGCACGCAGGTTGATGTTGAAAATGGTCTAAATAGGTCTAAGGATACATCTACACTACTACGATTCCTTGTCCGTTATTCTAAAACTAGAGCAGAGATATCTACAAGAAACTGAATGCGTATTCTATAAGCAATGTTACAGTACCAGCACAAAAATGTATAAAATTGACCACGCCTACGCAATATTATAAGGTACCAAAACTTCGTTTGTTTTCAATACGTTTATAAGGCGAAGAAGCAAGTTTAAGGAATTCCGTAAAACATGCGAATTCTTGAATAGTTTCAAATTGGGAATGCACCTAAGAATGTCCGTCCATCTGCCCAACCGTGCAGTATCTGTAGTAAATTTTTTCCAGTTTTCAACCAAATTTGCAAAACAACATGAAAATGTCCCAAATCAGTCAAAGGGCACGTCTACAACATTCATACGCCTATGCAACAGAAACTGCCGACACCTTTGCTTTCCCTATTTTCGTGTGTTACTTATACAGTACAATAAAGGAGAAAAAATCAACCACGCCTAGCCAATAATATAGAATATTAAAATTTAGTTTTTTTCTTCTTCTTAGGTCTTTTAAATAGAACGGATGATGGGCATAAAAGTCTCGGTCACCACCGATTTGCTTATATTTAAAAATAATATTTTAACTTACCCTCAATGTAGACGATAACAGCTGGTGGCATAACACATGTACCGACCAGCCAATCGGTGATGGCTAAATTTAGAATAAAACAATTTGTTACTGAACGCAAACGACGTGTTGTTAAAATGGCCAAAATCACTAAAGTGTTACCAACGACGGTAACCAAAATGAGCAGCATTAGTATAGGAACAGCAATCGCTTTATGCCAATCCATTTTTATGATATTTGAAATGATTGAAGGCTCTACACTCTCGCTCGACACATTCGTTAATGTCGTTGTTATAGCTGTTGTTGTCGTTGACATTATCGTAGTAGTTAATGCACTTAGATTGCCATCAAAGTGAAAACTATTAATGTCCCAAGCATCTAATGATGACGATGTCAATGAAAGTGATGATGACATTTCTGATGATACGGTGACAGTATTCGGCTTTGTTTCGTCCATTAATGTTAAAGGTTGGGAATGTGTATGTATGTCATTATTGGCTATGTTTGTAAAGCTATACGAACTAACAGCTACCGCTGTCATCGTAGTGCTAATATGACTGCGCCCCATATGCATTATAGATGTTTGCATTGTTTTGTACTTCTTTGATAATAAGAGTAGTTGCCGATGTGGTACGTTTTGCTGCTTTAAAATCATTTTTTTCCACTCGAGAGTAAAATCATTTTTTCTAAATTTTTCTCAATATTCTCCAATATCCAATTCGTAAAGAAATCTGAAGATCTATAAAAAAAGGTTTTATTAAATCTTATGTTCATTGTGATCATCTTGCAAAAGTGTTATTAATACATTTCCATAAACCCATCGCAAGCGGTAAACGCCTTTTTTTTAAATATTTGACACGCTTTAAATTATGAGGTTGAACACTCGTAGAATTGAATTGAATTGATTTTCAATTGTGTACCTGTCCGTCCTTTTAATGAAATCATAACTACGGTTTCAAAGGTTTGCTCAGAAGAGAAGGCTTTTTTCAGATTTTTGCTTTTTGTCATAAAATTTGTAAAAAGATGTGTGCATACCCAACCCTAAAGGATGGGTGGTATATTCATTTCGTCACAACACCCGGAAGGAAACATCAGAGCCTTTATGTATAAAATTTTTTGGTCAGCATTAAGTTGTTGGCCGATTTAACTAAGTTTGTCTGTCTGCTCTGTATGAACCTTCAGGGTCTTCATAAAGTATATACATTCTTGATCAGAATCAAACTCTAAACCTATTTAATCCTGTCCATCTGCCTGTTTGTCTATGGTAAACATTCTCCTGGTGGCGAAAATCCATCAATCGGCTTTAAATTTAGCACAAAGATTAAGAGTTCTTGCACCTTAGTTGGTATTGAAAGTGAACTAAAGCGATCAAAGGATACGACCAGAGTACAACATAACCTGAGACCACCTCTATTTTCAAAAAGAAAAAAAAGTGTGTTGTTGCTCGTTGCTTATGAACCACAAGAAACATAACCATGAAAATAGTATTTATATTCTATGGATGACCTTGCAACACCTGTGCAAAAATGCAAAAAACCGGCACGCCTACTCACTATTATAGAACATAAATATTTCTTTCCTTTAAGAAAATGTTTGCATAACTCAAAAAGAACTTCCGGAGACTATACAAAGTCTATATGTTATCGAAGGGTGGCGGGTATAAAAGACTTGATCCGGACCCGGTGTTAGTCTGTGTAATTACTCCGCAAATGCTGCCGAAACTCAAAAAATACATTAATTTTTCAACTATTCACGCAGCGCGGTAATACCCACAAAGAAGTAAAGAAAGAGAGAGAAATAGAGTGATCGCGGCCCCAACCTACTGAATGTGCGCCCAATCGGTAAGTGTCATGCCTTTACCAACTCTACTGCATTGAGATTTGAACCCACGGACGCTGACATGGTAGACGCGATATTTTATGGAGATATATAGGGAGTGAACGCATTTCCACTCCGAGCTAAAGTCAAACTGAACGTTCGTATTGGTCAAAGGTTAATCATTTGAAATTTATTTATAGCAAATTGTAAAAGTTTCTAAATAATAAAGACGTTTCGGAATCTAAAATATATGTGTATACATATATATACATATATATATCCATATGTGTATACTTATATATGTGTATATATGTATACATATATATATATTTGTATATATGCGAATGGTAGGCATGAAAAGCTACGGCCGAAACCATTTTCTTGTGCGTTAAAATTTCAATATTATTGTTACTGTTTATTGCATACAAGACATACATAAATACATACAATTGGGCGACTGTAATCTTCATCACCT